CATGCTCTCTTATATTGTAGGGAAGTATTCCTTCTATTCTATTCTATTTGATTGTGTTTTATCAAATTTATATTTTGTAAGTCTTGGGATCAGAGTATGTCTCTGAACAAGCATAAAAATGTGTTTAAGGTTAACACATTCAGGGGGAGCAGTTGCTTAGAACTCTGAATAGGTTAATGCTTGGGCCCTGTATAAAATGTTTTATCAAAATACATGTTTTTGTCATCATCAAAAAGGGGGAGATTGTAAGAGCAAGATTTGTCTCTACAGGATTATCTCTATGTTTTGATGATAACAATTGAGTATTTGTGAAAGAACCATTTTATGGTTTAATGTTTGTTATGTGCAGGTCATATTAAATTAAATATATTAGACCAAACAAACAAAAGCAACGTGTGCAGCTAGTAATATATGGAATTACTATGTGTAATGTCATGAAGCGCTTGGGAGAAGCTAGTTTGCTTATGTATCTGATCACCATCAGTAAGGAACCAAGGATGCTGTATATTGCAGTTGCAATGCTCCTGTGGTTTATAATCTGAAGAAGTGCATCTGATCTAAAAGCAAATGAAGCTCAGTAAAGAAGCAAGTTTGTTTCTGCATCTGATCATGTTCAATAAAGAATCAAGGATGCTGGATATTGCAGTTGCAATGCATCTGTGGATTCTGATCTGAGTTGTGCATCTGATCTGGAAGCTAACGAGCGTCTCTGAAGAGTGAGCCCTCTAAAGAACTGAAGTGCTGAAGAATCTGATGACTTGAAGTTCTGAAGGCTGAAGGCTCTGAAGACCAAGTGCGTCAAGACTCTGAAGACATGTTCTGAAGGACAAAACTCTGAAGACTCTGAAGACATGTTCTGAAGGTCAAGACTCTGAAGACATGTTCTGAAGGTCAAGACTCTGAAGATATAATCATCTGAAGAAGTTTGTGCTGAAGACTCTGATGACTTGAAGTTCTGAAGGCTGAAGGCTCAGAAGACCAAGTGCAAAAGACTCTGAAGACCAGACTCTGAAGAAGAAAGATTATGAAGCTTCACCAGACAAGACGTGTTCAATCAGATGAGCTGTTGCTATCAACTCTGATGAACAAAGTGCTGAAGTCAGAATCTGATGTTTACTATGCTATCTATACCAAAGTAGTTTCTGAACTACTCATCTGTAACATCATCAGAAGAACCAAGCCAGAAGCAAAATTTTTCCAAGCTGTTAAATGGAATATTACCGTTGCAAGAAAAGGACAAGAAAGTGATGTCATCCAACACGTGCTTATCTATTCGTTGAGATATGACCGTTGGAGTTTGAATGAACATCCTTATCCTCTCAACGGCTCTATTAGCTGTACTATAAAGGAATAACATTTGAATCATTCAAATGTTAGCATGCTTGTAAGCATGAAGTGTAGAAAAGAAAGAAAGAAGAAAAGCTTAAAATGAAAAGAAGCCTTAGTGCTCACACACAGAAAAGCTTTTAAGCAATATGGAAACTGTACTCAATAATCTCTTAGAGATTTATTATTAGATTAGTTTCTATATTAGAAAGCAAGGAGTTGTTGCTCAATACTTGCTAGGAACTTAATTAGGAGTAATCTGCTTATTTGAGAAGCACTTATGTAATCTCCGGCAACACAAATTCTTTTTAGAATTAAGTGGTTCCTCAAGTGATCTTGTTAAGATCAGTATACTTGAGATGACAAGTGACAGTAGTCATTTGTGGAAATCCTAATAGGAGATCTTTAGTGATCGGATTCTATTAAGGTGTCAATGAACGTTATATCCTTAGGGATCCCTGAACGTGTCATTGTCAAGTTGTTAGTCACTTGCAGTTAGCTTGTGCATCTGTAATCAGTTCGGTTATAGTGGATTAAGTCCTTATTTGATTAAGGCGAAATCACCTTGGAAGGGTGGACTGGATTAGCTTGAGAGTTGCTCATGTGAACCAGGATATATGTTGTGTTCTTTACTTTCAGTATGCTTTGTTATTTATGCTTCCGCAATATATTTAATATAAGCGCATAAAAGCATCAAGTTAAGAAGAAGACAAGAAATCAAAAAGGTTTATAAGAAGGCATAAACCCAATTCAATCCCCCCTTTCTTGTGTTTATTTCACACCTTCAATTAGCACTTTTGGTGTATCTAACCTTTTTTTGCTAGAACAATCACCAATAAGGGATTTTGTATTGCGAATACTTCCTAACATTCCTCAATCCAGTCTTTTTTTCTTCTTTTTTAGAGGGGAGAATAAGTGGAAAATTTGTCTTTAACACAATACAGGAAATGAGAGAGAACAATTAGACCCCATATCAATTGGATAACTTATTTTATTGAGGTTGAACTCCTCGTATTAATAATGTCCAGACACTTGTCTGATTCGTTTCTATCCATGTCCTTGTCAGTATGAATACCATGAATTTATCGCTTGGACATCAAATGAAGACTTGGTCGAAATTAAACACATGTTATATTTGCTGACCAAATTCAGGATATCTCTTAGGCCGCTGTAACTATTTCCATCATATGGGGTCTTTACTACCATGTCGTCTATATAGAAATCGAGATTCCACACTATTTGATATGAGAAGACAATGCCCTTTAAACTATTATAGGTTGCACATGCAGTAATGAGGCCTAAGGGCATGACTTCATAATAATAATTACGGTTGCTAGACATTAATATAATTTTGGGCACGTCTAAAGGGTTCATTTTGATCGGGTGTACTTAGAGTAAGCGTCCACGAAACTCAATTCTTTATACCTTGAAGAGCTGCCAATTTACCTATAAATAAGGTAAAGATAATGATCTTTAAGGCACACTAAGTTTAGTTTTGTCAAATTTGCGCACATTCCCCACTTCCCTAACGCCTTCTTTACTAGGACTAAATTTTCCATCCAGGTGGTATACTTGACCTCTTCGATGAACCATGCCTCATTTAGTTTTTTAACCTCATTATAAATGGTCGCCATTCTCTCCTCACCCACTATGCACTTCCTCTAAATCAACGACAAAATTAAGGTGTTAAGGGCGAGGGGATGACATACATATTTTGTATCAACCCTTGACATGTTTGAGGGAACCCATACAAATAGATCTATGTTTTGCTCTAGCAAAGCAGGTAACTTTTCTTCTTTTCTCTCTGTTAGGGAGGTGTCCAACTCTGTTGTCTGGAATTCAAGTGACCTTATCTATACTTCTTTTAGATCTTCGGTGGATATCAATATTTCCTCTATGTATTCTTCTTTAGGATATAGGTCGACGAAGTTCACTCCATTGTTGACATGCTTTGAATGCAACACAGGTGCCCATTACCACATTCTTTATCCTTTAATTATCATGATAACACCTTTAGAGCGTTTCTTTATCTTCTTTTACAACATTTATCTTCCCATTTTCTAATGGTTTCCAATGGACACTTCATGGTTAAATAAAGCATTGACAAAGAAACTTCTATCATGTTGAAGATGGCACACCCAATGATGATGTTGTAAGATAAAAGACCGTAAGCGACAAGGTATATAACTTTAATCATCTTGGCATACTCACGCTACTCGTACATGATTTTGAGGGAGATGTAACCCTTGACTTGGACTTGCTTGCTCGAGAAGCCAACCAAAAAGCCTCTGAATGTTTGCAAATCCTTTGGGTCTAACTATAGTCTTTCAAACACATCCTAATATAGGATGTAAACTAAGTTTTCAGGGTCTACCAGAAATTTTTTTACATCCCAATCAAACAACAAAATATTTTTGACCATGAAGTCATGTTCATGTGACAATAATTCTACTTCATATTTACTAGAGATGATGATTTCCTATATAGGAGTTTACCACATGCATTATCTGACATACATATCTTATTCGGGAGGAGTTGGATTCTCTTCCTCCAGTTAATCCTCCATCGACGATGTTGAGGGTGTGCCTGATTAGTATATCTTCTATTAGTTATTCCATCTTCTTATTCTTCCTAGGCGGGGGGACTTATGGGTTGATCCCACCCTGATGCACAAGACCTACCCCCTGAGTGCTGAGAGGTTCCTCAGACATATTTTCTCATATGATTTTATTAGATAAGATACTCTATTTCTCTATTTAATTGATGACATTCATATGTATGATGACCCCTTCACTTTTTGATATTTACACCACTTGTTTGACTCGTTTCCCATTACCTCCCACTTCGGAGTTGGAGGAGGATGAATGGAGTGTGTGTGTGTGTGTGTGGGGGGGGGGGGGGGGGGGGGAGAATAATCCAAACCAAATTTGCTATCGTCTAACGTGCATTTGAAGGCCACACTATCATGAACGAACGACATGTAATGACTTATGCGCTGTTGTTGAGAGGAACAAACCCCCCTAAAGCCACATTCTTTTGCGTCTATGACCTGTATCTCCCTTTATCTAGCACTAGACCCGTACCATAATCTTTGCAATAGAGACAACATGCTTTTATGATAAAGACTCATTTAAATGTCCGTCTTTCATACCATTATGGAAAACTCCCTCAAACATCTATTAGTTAAGATAAGCCACCCTGATATTTGCCTTATCAAATTTGACGAGTATTCTCTTAAAAATTCACAGTGTCTCTAACGAATGCTAAACAAATGGATCATAATATCATTTGATATTTACTCACCAAAAATCGATAAATAAACTTTTTCAAGAAGTCTTGCGGGCTTACATTACCAACATATTTTTTATTAAATAATTTATTTCTTTTGATAATTTATTTAATTTAAATGGTTTACATTAACAAATACATTTTTTATTTATTAAATAATATATAAAATTAGTAAAAATAGGTAAATTAGGGATGAAAAATATATATTAGGCTATTATATAGTACTCACGATGATAAATATCTGTATGTGTTCATAACCGAACTCAGTTCTGTTCCTTTTTTCTTTCTCTTCTTCATCCTCTATTTCTCTCTCCACCACTTTTCCTCTCACCAACAACCACCGAGTAAAGACTCACCGATCTTCCGACCCCAATTCGTCATAGTTTATGAGGTATCCTATTTTCTTCCTCTGATTTATTGTTTTTCATTTTTTTATAGGTTTTTTTGTTTTCCGATCTACGCCATGGCTATTTGATCGCTCTCAGAATCCCCCATCATTTTTTTCCAATAAAAATCGATTTTTTCATTCTTTTTAGTCCTGGTATTCTTAGATCTAAAGGGTTATCGTTGATTAGGTTTTCTTAGATCCAGAATCGCCTTTTTTTGAGTAACCCTAATTCCTATTGATTTAAAAAAAATATTTTTTTTTTCGTTCTTTTAAAGCCTTCTAATGATTTATAAGGTTATGTTATGATGGGTTTCAATCTATTAGCATTTCAGGTCTTGAAATTTTTTGTTCAGTTTAATTGTATTAGTCACAATAATTTACTGAAATCTGTTTAGTTTAATAAGCCTTCTGTTGATTTTTGTTTGATTTTTAACTTTTCATATTCAATCCTAATGTTGATTGTCTTTCTTGCAGCTCCAAGGAGAAACCCACTCTCGGGTAAGACTTTCATATTCAATTCCTTATTGTGTTGATTGTCTTCATAATGTCTTCCTAATGTTTTAGTGTTGTGTTGTCATCTATGACATCTATGGAGCACGACACAGACACTTATAGGTTGATACGGGTAATAATTTAAAAATAAATAAATTAATAAAACGTAATCACAAGTGGTGTCAGCGTTGTCAATGGCGGATGGCGGTCCACGGTGGAGAGCCAAAATCCCGCCATACCGGACGCTTTGTGGCGCTGTTAATGCGGATTATGGCGGAAAAACCAGCAATAGCAGACGATATTTACCATTGCGGAAAGCCCAAAAACTGGTATATCGGCCATAGTGGCCATGGCGCCGCAGTTTGATAACTCTGAGTGGTGTCATATAGATGTGGAATTTTAACTTTGAACAAACCGTTAGTTTTCCATGCTACACTGTTTAGTACATACTGATGTCAAATATCTGATACACTATTACATACTGATGTCAAATGTCTGATACACTATTACATACTGATGTCAAATATCTGATACACTATTACATACTGATGTCATATAGCAGCTATAGTGGTGCTATAGACCAACGGGAGTTTTGACATAGTTGGTTTTATGAACTATTTGTATTGAGTTTTCTGTCAACTAAATTTGATGATGACCATCTTGCACTAATAATTCACACCTTATTCTCTTAGCCACTTAATGTTTTCTTCGTGACTGGCTTAGATTTTTTGTTACTCTATTGTGCGAAGTTAGAAGACTCTTTTCATCTTAGCTAACTATTTTGCATTTAATTCTATGCAATTTCTCAGTCCACATATATGTATATAATTATCTAGTTCTTCCAGGTGCTTTTCTTTTTATGTTATACTCTTCTAATTTGTTCCAATGTTCTTATTTTGTTTTTTTTAATCATCAGTGGCACGCGGATTAAGACCCGCAAACGGAACATTGCGGCGCCTCTGGACCCTGCAGCATTTGCAGATGCAGTGGTCCAGATTTACTTGGATAATGCTGGTGATCTGGTATGTTATCATTGCATTTTACTTCCCTTTTGTTTGTTGACTGTTTGTATTGCACACTGTCGTGCTTAATTGACTTGCAAAGCTGATGAATAGTTGATGTTTTTAGGAACTTATTGCAAAAAGCCTTGAATCTTCTGACCTCAACTTCTCAAGATACGGCGACACCTTTTTTGAGGCAAGCTTCTTAAACCATACATGAATCTGTTTTATCTCAGTTAATTTCAGCATTATGTTTTTTTTTGGAAATCTTTTTTTGAATATGATCGCAAGAGAATTAGGTGCATAATTCATGTTATTATGACATACATGCTTCCATGGTTATATACTAATGCTATAATCTGACATGATATGTTCCTTTTTATACTATAGCACCTTCTAGGTACTGCTGTAGCTTGAAACCTATGTCCTTATATACCATTCTCCTAGGGGATCTAAAGCTAGTTAGTCTTTAACATTCTTCCTCCATCATGGCAATTCTTTATTTGAATTAATAGGGCATGGAATACACTTAAATTTTCTTACTTCATTGACTAAATACTAAAGAATCAGTTATGCCATCATTCAACTTCAATGTTCTCAATGCCTTGTGATGTTCTACTGTTAGTTGATGTGTGTCCAACTTATGAATGTCCTATGGATAATTTATTGCTTGATGTTGCATTACTGTAGGTTATTTTCACTGGGGGTCGCACACAACCTGGAACTACCAAGCCCGATGAGGGGGAACGCCATCCTTACTCCATAATAGAGTATGAGGCAAAACGTGAAGTCATTTTACGATCTGTGATCTACATACAAAAGGTTTTGCGGAGAAGGCCATTCCTCATCAAGAACCTTGAAAATGTCATGCGTAGATTCCTCCAGTCCTTGGAGCTTTTTGAGGAAAATGAGAGAAAGAAGTTGGCAATCTTCACAGCACTTGCCTTTTCCCAGAAGCTTTCTGGTCTCCCACCAGAGACTGTGTTCCAACCACTTCTTAAAGATAATCTTGTGGCCAAAGGGCTAGTTCTGACATTTATAACTGACTTCTTTAAGGAGTATTTGATTGACAACAGCCTTGATGATCTGATTGCAATTCTGAAACGTGGAAAAATAGAGGATAATCTTTTGGTCTTTTTCCCCCCTGCAAAAAGAACCAACGAGTCTTTCTCTGAGCATTTCAGGTAATTCTTACTTGTTAGTGAAAATGACCTATCTTCATTTTATATGAAATTCTTCAATTTAACTGTATCACTGTTGATTTTATCTCTCTAGGCCAACAGTTCTATTTTATGTTGCTTTTAGCAATTCCAACAGCCTCGATCTTCTCATTTTTTGAACGATTACTATTTGTAGAATTCTAATGCCTTTTAAAAAGTTGGGTACTTGACCTAAACTGCAACACAGTTATACCTTAATCACAGTTTAGTCCAAATTTAATGATGCACAGTTTGGCATTTATTGAATCTACTGTATCATATTATTTGCTTGGATTAATCATTTGCTAATTGGTTAACACAAATTTTTACTTTTTTATTTATTAGTTTGAAGTTTATACCACTGCAATTGATAGAATAATTAGTTTTTATTGAATTGCTATTTTTTAAGTAAACTTTTACTGTTGTATATTTAACTTGACTGATACTGTTTTATCGTTCCTTATTTGCTGTCAACTATCTTGGAACTTATATCCATCTATTGATTGTCAACTTTTTAGCAAGGAAGGACTAACTGCCCTGGTGGAGTATAATGAAAAGAAAATATTTGAGGTGACACTGAAGGAAATGAAGTCTGTTTTAACAACTCAGATAACTGAGGAGGCTGATATATCTGAAGTTATTGAGACTGTGAAGCTTCGTGTTAGAGATGCTAAGTTGCCAGACACTGAGATTGTACGTATCTTATGGGATGTTTTAATGGATGCTGTTCAGTGGTCAGGGAAAAATCAGCAACAGAATGCAAATGCAGCCCTGCGCAAGGTAACTTCAGAACTTTTCACCAATGCTTAAGTCGAGATTCTTAACTTTGTTATCCTAAACCTTGTGTTCATTAGTTTCTTCTTGAATAGTAATAACTAATATATAGAAAATCCATGTTAACGTTGAGTCAAGTTATCTGATGTCCTTGACCGTGATATGATATGATACGATACGACGCCCTTTACTTACTATACTATACTATGTTCTGTGTTTGATCGTATAGGGGCTTAGCTAAGTATGTTATGGGTGGGTGGATAGTATTCCTTTGACAGTGTTAATACATGTCTTGATTATATGATTGTCTCTAACTTTTAGGGAATGGATTTTCCATCTGTTTGCTTGTCAAGAAAACCTCTTGGTTTTCATTCCGATATATGGCATTTTACTTTGTTAAAAATGTTGACGATATTTCTATGTTTATGATGAAGGTAAAAACATGGGCGGAACTGTTGAATACTTTCTGCACCAGTGGAAAACTTGAGCTGGAACTGATGTACAAAGTACAGATGCAATGCTATGAGGATGCTAAACTGATGAAACTATTCCCTGAGATTATTAGATCTCTTTATGATCAGGATGTGCTGGCTGAAGATACCATTCTTCACTGGTTCCGTAAAGGAACAAACCCCAAAGGAAGGTATGCAGTTATTGCAAAATTTCCTCCTTACTGTTTCTATCGTCAACCTTTCCACTATACTTGTTACTTACATATGCTAATTTGGAACTGGTACAGGCAAACCTTTGTGAAGGCACTCGAACCTTTTGTTAATTGGCTGGAAGAGGCTGAAGAGGAGGAATGAGTGCGTGGTCAATATTGCAATGTCTTAACTCTTACACCATTACCTATCCTCTTTCTTAGACGTTGTCTTAAGTTCTCATAAATTTGATGTGCCTGGTACTAATAATCTATTTCCTTGTTGACTTTATTCACATCATCCATGGCGCCCTCATGTATGGTGCTTGCATGTTTTTTTTACATATGCACGAGAGATTATGCTCATGGATGTATTACTGTATTTTGATTGTTCTACCTTTATAATGCATTATCGTTTCTTAAAAGTTTATGGTATGTTTATTAGCTTCGTGTCCAGATGATGCCAATGCATTTTGAGGCTGTACACAAAATATGAATGATCCAAAAATCATAGATAGTCATTGACGCAAGTATTATAAAAGGTTTTTGTATTATAAAAGAATATTAATACTTCAAAGTCCTCTCTTTTCAAAACTATAAATTCTTTCCGTTTCATTCTCTTATAATCTCTCAAATTGAGTCAAAAAGTGAATTCATTTTCAGATAGCTCTTGTTGAGCAAGGGAATTTCTCTTTAGTTTAAGCACTTTCATTAATTTATGTCTTTCAATCTGAAATTGAACAAATCTTGAATATCAAATATATTTAGTATTTGTTGCTAGGCATGCTGGAGTGGACACTTTTCACGCTTTCCACGCACTCCCATTAAAGTTTGTGGGTTAAAATATCCACACAAACTTGTGATGCAGTTGAGCATAAATATTTGTGGGTGCATGTGTCATTATCCCAGCTGGTGTACTTAGTAGCTTTTCAGTTGAGGAGAACAGAGTTTGAATAAAATCTGAATAATATTTTAGTTCAATATGTAGCGTAGGGGTGTGAAAAAAAATCTGTTATTGTTAATCAAATTTGTATTCAAATTATTTCACTTTTAAAAATTCAAATTAAATGATAAAATATAAACCTGTGGTTTAGTTATTGGTTAAATATGTTTTTGTTTCTTTTCATGTTTTATTAATACACGTTATGAATTAATTTTATATTTAAATCAAAAGATTCAAAATTTTGTATTTTAAAATGAAAAAAAAAATTGTTCACAAATTCTCTAATTATCTAAAATTATGTATTAATACTTTACAAATTATATGGACTTTTATCAGTTAATTATATAAATTTTCAGTAATTAATTATATAGATTTTAGTGCATGGAGTTTGATTTGGCACGTGCAAGAAAATATACCAAAATTTGACTTATTGGATTTGACTCTAATTTTCATTTATAAATCTCGAAGTTCATTAAAGTTTTATGAAAAAATAATTATAAATATTATAGATTTCTCCACCAATAAATTGAGGTTTTGAAATATACAAATATATGTATTATAAATATTAATTATCATTTTAAGTTCATATAATTTGTTGAAATTTTTTATTTTCAACTTTATTTTTAATTTTTTAAATATTTTTAATTTTTAGATTTTTGTTTTTTTTTTAATATTTATTTTCAAAGCAAAATATATTAAAATTTAAGTATTTAAATTTAAAAATTGATATAATTTTAAAAAAATTAAATTTAAATTAATTAAATAATTTGAGTTAAAATTAAAATCTATTTAGAACCGATTTTAAATCGGTTTAGAACAAGTGGTTTGGTTTATAAACCATAACGATAAAAATGGATTGGTTCTTATTAAATGGTATTCATGCACACCCCTAATGTAGTAAAATAGAAGGTAAAAAGAGTATTAGGTTGAAGATAATCACTATGAAAAGAATTCCGATGTGGTGGGAGATGGATCCAATGATTAGAGAAGGGAATACATATCACTTTAAAATTCAAGTAAGTAGACTTGGGAGGCTATATCAACATTGGTTTGATTTTATTCGATTTTATTGGATCTTTGATCAATATTGAATATATTGGATACTGTGTGTGGGTTAGTATTTTTCACAAAACACAATTATTTTATTATCATCGATATTCGATATATTGGTCTGGCTAATTTAGTATGGAAATCAATAGAGATCAATTTTGACATCAAATAATTCCAATTTCTGTAAAATTTTGAATTGTGATTATTCCTATCAAGTCCATGTTAATTACCATTTTGAACCATATAAAAGACAACTTTAAGTACATTTGTGTCAAATATAAGTAAGTTTATATTTATAATTATATAATTTTGACACGGGCAATTGATTTGCTATTTATTATTATGGATAACAAACGTTCACTCTATTTAAGATGTATTCAAGGTGTTTACTCTATTCAAGGCGGGTATGACCATCTTTAAAATTTAAAAATATATAAAAAGTAGTTTTTTTTTTCTTTCTTTTACCCTTGCATCTATAAAAATAAAATAGACGGGATATAACAAGCAAAATAGAGGGGATGGTTAGAAAATCATGGTTTGACGCTAGCATTTGTAAAAAAAATAAACGGGGCATAACAAGCAAAATAAAGGGAATGAATAAGAAATCGTGGTTGACGCTCACTTTTGTAAAAAGATAGATAGAGCATAACAAACAAAGTAGAGGGGATGTTTAGGAAATCACGTCGTGATGCTCGCTTCTGTAAAAAAATAGACGGGGCATAACAAGTAAAGTAAAGGGGATGATTAAGAAATTATGACTTGATGCTTGCGTGTAAATATTGAGTGCACTTAAGAGAGAGAAGGGGGAGGTGTAAATTGGGTATTTTTAAATATTTAAATTTTAGAGTCTGTGTTTATTTTTTGATTTATGATTAGGGAATGAAAGAAGTAAAGTGTGGAAAATAAATAATATCGAAAGTTTATACTAGTTCTTCTCACATTTCAAGAGTACGTTCTCTTACGCATGGTAAGAGATTTAAATATTGTTAGAATTTTGTACAAGCTTATATATAATTTTTATACACAAGTTTCTAATTAAATCACCAAGACAAACCACCTTATGTTTTTTTTACAATATAGCAAAAGAATATTTACTTTTTCCAACCTTCTTTTTTCCAAGAATCCTGAACAACAAAATATATACACAATTATTGAGTTTTTTATGCATATAAGTTTTAAGCAATAAGATAGAATTCCCTTTAAAAAATATAATATATCACAATATATCTTTAAGGGGTCAAAAACTTTCATGTTAATTGAATATGAAAATAGTGCACAAATTCTTAAAGATTGAAAATGATAGATACAGATACAATGAAATACTTAGGAAATAAATTTAAAAAAAAATGCATTTGATAAGAGAAAATACTTTCTATTTATATGTTCACTTACAGCTTTTAAATCAAGACATAAATCTTGATAAATTTATGATAAGGTGTGATTTTTACGTGAAAGGATACAAATGAAGGTTCCGTGAAAAGATGCGATGCGTAAAAGTATTTTTTTGAAAAAAGTCAATCGATTGAGAGAGATGATCAATCAATTATTTCTTTAAAACGTTTGAATTTTTTTGAAAATTTAACTAGTGTCAACCGATTGCTCACCCCATGCAATCGATTGCCATCCTTAAAAGTTTTTCAAATTTGAATGGTGACAATCGATTGATGCATCCATGCAAGGGATTGTTTAAATTAAAAAAAAATATATTTTTCATTTTAAAGACTATGCAAAAAATTTCTAAGTACAAAATGTAAAGACATGAATTTGTATGAGATGTTATGGATTGATTTTAGGTAGTTTGAACACTTAAGGTTATATGAATTATGAAACACCATATATACCATCTTATTCGTTTATCATATCATAAACATTTGAGTAGCTTCTTTCATATTTTAGTATTTGATCATGCCTTCACACTATGGATTGTCTTCATTAAAATCATCTTCATCGAATGATTGATTTTACATTCTCCCCCTTTTTGATGATGACAAAATAGTTCATGATGGTTGTTCTTGCTTAACAAAAGTAGAGAAACTCCCCATATGTTGGATAACTCCCCCTTAATGTGTGAGTCTTGCTAAAGTTGAATTTCTATGAGTTATCATGTACCTAATACAAGCATACAAGCATACACCTTTCTCCCCCTTTTGAAATGATAAAAAAGGAGGGGAGATGAATAAGGAACTAATATATGAAAGATAATAATATTAAGGATTAAGAGACATGCGTAACAATTTAAAAAGTTAAACATACTACATTACTTCAAACATAATCCAACATAATACTTAAACCATAATCAAACATAGTGCATAGTTAAGTCTTAGTACATAGTGGACCTAAATAAAGAGAACATACAACAACAAACATAATAAAAGGGCAAGGTTCTAAATTGGTCTTGGTTCATAAATTTGTCTTGGTTCATGTTGTCTTAGTTCATATTCTCTTGGCATTCATGTGCTTGGTAATGAGGAAATTGGTATGGTTGAACTTGATAGAGAGGAATGTTCATTTGAGAGTAAAAATAGGAAAACTGATAGTTCAATGAGGTGTTCATGTAGGTCATGTAGTCAAAGATTTGTTGGTTGGTTGGTTCCTCTTGGTTGATATGTTGTTGAACTCGTGGAGGAGGAACTTGTACATTCACACCTTCATCAATGTATCATATGGTATTATTCTTGAAATTGTACTCTACACGCATCTTATTGCTGCATACCTACACATAAATCATAAAATCACCCATCTAATAGGATCCTCATTTGAGAATTTAACACCAAAATACACAAAAAAACTTGGACAAAAAGAATGTATAAGAAAGTTCTATAGCATCCGTAGAATGTGCAACCATGTGTTCAAGAATTAAGTATGCCCAATTAACTTGAAGACCTTGTTTGATAACAAAGAGAAGCTGCATCTCAGTATGTATTACAGTTGAATGATTTGAAAATTTGGGAAGTATGACATATTCCAAGATGTAACGCAACAACCTACCGTCGATATAAAAATTTCAGTTGGCCAAGAGTTTATAACTGGAATTTTACCATCAAACATTTTCTTAGGCTTCTTAAAAAATTCATGCCCAATAAGCCTAGAAATCCCATAGTAAAAATCCTTTTTGCCATATCCTGGCAAAGAAATAGGCTTATTCATTCTAATCTCAAAAATTTTAGATGGAA